GTTACAATCGTGCTTGCGCAATATCTGCACGTGATGAAAGAGTACACTCTCTTAGCGCGATACACATGTACACGTTGTTCCATGGCTAGCGTGGCAATTATATGAAATTACTGTGTTGCAAACAAGCGCAATACCATTGAATCATATTTTACCTTCATTGTGGTCCGAAGGTAATAATAACACGTTACAGAAAAGATCAGACCTTTTTTTTTTTGTTTACAGTCCTTTTCTTAGTGTACTTCAACATGTACATTTGTTAATCTTGAGATTGCCATTGTACTTCCACCAATGTTTCTAACTGAATCACGACCTGACGATCACATACAAAAGATATTTTACAACTGTGCGAAGGATAATATTTCCTGTTACAGCGAAGTGAACAGAGTAGAATTTTATGGTCGTTCGTCAAACATATGCTTTTACGGAACAAATTCGTGATATCAAATAAACCATTTTTTGAATATAAGATAACAATAACAGTTACTTGTTACGTACATCAAATCAAAATGATAATGTTTTGACAGTCTTACTTTTATCAACGTGATTAATTATGTAACGAACGAAAAACAAAAGCATTTTGTGGAACACTTTCTAAGCAATTAATCCGAATAAATTGTTACGGAACCAAGTGTGACGCTATGGTCAGTTGAGTAAAGGAAAAGTTGTTTGCCTCGATCAGCTGTGCCTATTTATCGAGCACATAGTATGTACATATATTCTACGAAAAGAGAACGCGAGGTTCAAGTTCAAAGTCCGTGATAGAAATTTGGACTCCCATCTCAAATTTCAAAAATCATCGTCTAGAAATCTTCGTTTGCGTCACGTGTTTACGAATTCAATTTCTAACTAGTTGAAAATGTTCTAAATTTCACAGAAGAACGAGTAGTAAGTCAGATTTCCAAAATACTTGAACTCGCGTTGTTTGATTTCGGTTACTTGAATCGAGACGCAGCGTATTTCTTCGAAAAACATTCAGACCAATTGTTATTTTTCGACGTGTTCCCGGGCAGGCCTTTCAAAAGTCCTCGGAGAAAACACTTGTTCGGTTCAAACTTTCAAACGATAAACACACAGTTGTGAAACGATATAAAATCAAAGGGCAAACGAGATATCGAGTTGAAAACTAATTTTTTGCTTTTATGAATGTAAGCAGCTAGACAGATAGTTTTATCTGGTTCTTTGATTGATGAAGCGAACGAAACTCATAATCGGTCAATTAACACGCTCTTTTCACAGCGTATCTGCAATAATTGTAACGTTACTATGATAATCCGATGCAGCGTTCGTTGAGTCAGTTGTGGACTTTCGATTTACCCTAAAAGGATGGACTTATTTCGATTCCGTTACGGTTTCACATATGTAATAAAAAAGAACCAGATATACAAGAGAAACGTGAACATCTACACTTTCATTTTTAAATTCATCTTTTTCATTAGGTATGTATCTGTCAGATCAACCATGATCTCCGGAGGGTTAACACTGGTTAACACTAACTAAAGTATGAGGTTGCACAATGCTACTTGGTTGGCTTTCATTTTATATAAGATCGAAGGCCTTGATCTTAGTAACTCTTCGAAAATTACGGTATATTTCAAGTTTAGAAAATAAGTATCAAAGTTTCAGAAGAGAGTTGAACACACCTTAAAAACCAAATCGACGCGATTGTAAAATATAACACGTATAAAAAAGTAATTAATTTTCGTGTCAATGTTATCATTGATAGTAATAATGTGTTGTACTACTCACTATTTTTAGATTTCGACACGTACACGAAATCAAGCTCTTCTTCTGGTGGGTATCATAGCAGACTAGCTACAAATAGCGGGCACACAGTGTTTCACCGAGGAATGATATAAACACGTGCACACATCGCGACGACATAAAAATTCTTGCAACTGGTGAAAGCACAAATCACGAGTAAACAGTTACAAGTAAAAGAAAGAGACGAGTATCGCAAAAGTATGTACAACAACACGTCCTCCGTCGATGAAGAAATACTACTGACTGTCGGGTGTCGAGTTTCAATCAGGTTATGTGAACGATGTGAATCCGTCAAGTCCCAGCCCCCCCCCCCCACTTTTCTTTTCCTCTTGTGGTACTTACGCACGTGACTCCCCGGATACGTTCGCGTTTATGAAAGCTCGTGTGCATGTCTCTATATGTATATGTAAGAACGTCACTCAATTCGTGTATCACACGCGTTTTACGTAAAATCAACATGTTATGCACCCTTTTGCAATTATCTTTTTTGCTTCTGATGTAGAAAATTATTACAATTTCACAAAAATATAAAGCAGAGCATTTCACACACAATTCTTTCCTATTTTTGTAATTAGTACTCTGAAATAATTAGACATGATATTACAGTGAATGTTAATAAATATTTATGTTGTCACTATACTAATAATTGTAAAAATTCTGGTACTTTTGCACTGGCAAACACGATTTTTATCTTTCGCTGTTGAATGATCATTTGAAGATTGAGCGTTTACGTAATCTTAATAAGTAGATCAAGATTAAGTGTTGCTTCGATTTTATCTATAAAACTTTGATGTTTGGAAATGTTTGTTATCTGATTATTGATTTCATTTCAAGCGTTTGAAGGAGCTTCTCGCGTTAGTAGATACCTATGTAATTGGACGCGTAAACAATGGATTAAACGTGTATGCGAATATCATGTACGTGTACATAATATACACTTAGTGTACCTAACGTTTTGCTCGAGCAAAATTTCTATATGTCCATATTGTTTGAGAAATGTCACTGAAGGCAATAATAATTCAATTTAAAAAAGCATTGGATAAAAATTAATACAATTTATATCACTCCTTGTTATACATGCAATGCTCAATTTTTGTTATCTTTCCGCCTGCCATCTTCTAGAATGGAATTATACAAAATTATACATCTCAAAAGTGATTGTCTCGAAAACCATTATGCGTGATGGTGAAACACGTATTGATCATTTAGGACTTGGGATATCAAAAACAGTAGAACGCCCGAGATTGCACAATCTGTGAATTATACAATAGGCTGAAAATACACCGGCAGACTATGTTACTGGTGTTGGGGGTGTGTCTCAATGAATTACTTTGCATAATAAAGTCATTATTTTTTGTAAGCAACACTTGCAGTGTGTTTTATTAAACGTGTTTAATAATTTCATAATGACTTTTCAATTGGATAATTGATAATGCTCTCCCTGTTCATAATTAATTTATCATCCGAATTATTTTTAATAATGAGAATTGTATATTTGATATATACGAAGCAATGAAAAATAATAAAAAAACGATGCCAACACGATTCTGTATTTCCTTTTTAATTATACCGTTCCAGAAGAAGTTGATATTTATGTTAGAAACACACGAATTTAGAATTTATAATCCAGTAAATAAATGTATAACGACATGTTTAAATGCGTTAACTTACATCCTTAAGAGTCACATATTCATTGAGATCATCAAAGAGAATCAATCGTTTGCGTGAAATTTCATTCTTGATTCTCTTAGTGTTCATCTTAATGCGGAAAAATACATTGCTACAGATTATGTTGTAAGGCGACCATTCCATCGTGCAGTCCATGCAGACAGATTAATGACAGGTCGAAAGAAAGTACCGCTACCCCCACCCACTTTACCCCCACGGATCTCTATTAATTGGCTCGTAGGCGATTTGGTAAAAAAAAGTCCGTTGCGATAGAGGAATGGATAGTTTAATGCTGCTCGACAAATAAGATAATGCTTATCAAGGCCTCCGTTAAGACAGTAGATGGCGGAAAAACAGAGATAAGAAATGATGTTTGAGACTACGTGTTTGTTAATGAAAAACATTCAAATTGGCTAAGCGATGTACTGTTTCGGGTCACCGAAACGAGATGTCGATCAAAAAATTTAAATTCCCTACATATTCGATAGTTTTTCCGTAAAATACTGAAATCTCGCTGTCAATTGTTTATTACGTAGCTTCAGGTACAAAAATCGCCATTTTGCTCCGGTACAAAAATATATTTTCGTGAGTGAATGGTGCACGTGAAATCGACTCCCCGGCTGTTTATAACCTGTGTATTTTTATGTTTCTTTTTTAATATAAATACTATGTGAATTCACTATAAATACTTACATATAAAATTCAGTTAAAATATAGCTGAGCACGTAGGAGGGATCGAACATTCGAAAAACAATCTTTGTTTCGAAATTATTTCGAAATCAATTTCTTGAACTTACTATACGCAATCAAGTGCTCTGTACAAATAGTGTGAGATCGTCTTGTTTGTTACACGAATAGAATGACACAAGTCGTACCAATATTTAGTTCATAGTTTGGCTTCACGATAACTTATCTTGATCGGTTCTTTCGACTACATATATGTATATTTACATTTTAGGTCACGTGTATTCTAAAGTATAATACTTGATGTTTATGTACAAGAGTGTTCTGAACTAATGTATCTCGATTTCGTCAAAATTTTTGAAAAAAATAATTATAGCAATATTTACACTTACATTTCGTATTTTGTATCTAGTAATTTCTTCACTACAAAGTCTTATACTCCGTATAAGACTGTAGGGAGGCAATATACTTTTATATGGTAGATACATAAACATTAATTGTACATCATTGGCAATAACTCGATCATTTTCGATGAAAAAACAGTTATTTCAATCGCTTCTATAACGCAAGCGACTGAATAACTACAGAACCGTATGGATTCCTTTCACTGCATGTACTCGTGCTGTAAAATTGTTTAAATTTCATGACGAATGATAATCGTTGCGCGACAACAAAATTATTTTTTCCCCGTTTGGTTATAGATCCTCGATTTCTAAGCCGATCACAAAGGCGAAAGGTTTGTTTCATCATTTCTGACAACTTCAGTTCCTCTGGAAATATAGAACAGAATTGTCGGTGGCTTCGGTATTACCCGTTAATACCGATAACGTATAACTTTCAACATCGTATCACAATTTCAAAACCCCAATATGACGTGTTGTTCCGCGTCACAGCTCGGTTGTGGCTACCCCCCAGTACTGTTGCATCCGCGTCGCGTCCTGTTCCAGCGAGTCTAATCCGTTTCTTTCCTGAATGACGGCGAAATCGTATTCGAGATTATACGGCATCAGCCTTTGCAGGCTACCGAAGTAAGCCGCATTCGGACCGCCGTTCAGTAATCTCCTGCCGCTACCGAACCGTACGATAGGCGGCCGCGGAAGGGAGGGATTAAAGGATCTCGCGCTCCCGAATCTCTTCGATAGAAAAGGCAAATTGCCTCCTAATTGAGGCGTGGATCTCGATTGACCCCGGCGCAATGGGGTCCTCGATAAAGTGTCCAATTCCTTGTCGAATAAGAGCTGGGTATTCTGCTCGAGCATGTACTCCCAGCAACGGAACTGCTCCTCGCTTAATGCGCCAGACCTTTCAGAGACGGTGTCTTCTTGGGCCCCGTGGCAGGTCGGTATCTATGGAAAGTAATTCAAACTTTTCATGAAATCTCCCGATATTCAATACCCCGTCGGTTTACATACTTTTTTTTTCATATTCTGTTTTACCTTTCTCCCTCCATTTTCATGCACCAAGACACTTTGTCGAGCTTTGTTCGTGGCCCTGGAAGCGGCGCTTCCAGCCCAGACTCGGCCGGATGGATGTCTCGATTTGAACGTACTGTCGCTGGCCTGATCGGATTGACCGCTTGGCGAGCTCCTATCGTCTTTGTACGGTGGACTCTCATTCTCTTGCGCAGGTCGGCGGTTCTTGAAGAATCTGCCTGACCCATTGTGAGCTTTGTTAGTCCTGTACCGAAAGCTTTTTATCAGTATACGAAGTTTTGTCGCAAATTACTTGCAGTCTGAAATGGACTAAAAGTGACGACGATCTTTTGTTCACCTGTTCACGATGCTTTTCAACACGCCGTTCAAGTAATAACCCTCGTTCGCGTGACAACAGCAAGGTCCTGGTGGTTTGTGTGCGGCCGGTGGCACGCAACAGGGGCAAGGACAAGCCCCCTCCGTGTGACCCCTATTCTTTCCAACCGCATGCCTCAATTCTCTCATCAGCTGATCCAAATCGCCTTGATTCGGTCCGGTTAATCGAACCACCACGATGCTCAGATTATCCTCCGCGCCATAAGCCTGCGCCAGGTCTTGCAACCTTTTCGCGGCTAGAACGGGACTGGCCTCGGCTCTGGCTTCTCGAACGGCTTCCTGTATACTTAACACCTCCCACAATCGTCGGTTCGCGATTATCACGAATTCATCGTCGTCCTCCAGATCGACTTCCTCGAAGGTCGGGTCGGGCACCACCAGAGGGAACATGGCAGCGTTCCCCAGCTGATTTGTGACTGGAACTTTCTTGGGCGGGGCCAGGGTCAACGGACCAGCCGCTCTGCAAAGGACCGCCTTCGCGTCCCCGGATGAGGCCACCTTCAATGAGTATCTTGTCGGTGCTTTAGGGTAGCCTTGTTGGGATTGAAGTCTGACAATGTGCACCAGAGTCGCGTCAACACCGTACTTCTGACCCTTTTCTTTCAGCTCTCTGTGAGCCGAGAGCAGCGTGTATTTTAAGTACTCCTTCGACGTCTCCCGGACGGTTCGCTCTTCCAACAGGAGGCGGGGTATCATTTCTTGAAGGGCACTGGGCGCTTCTTGATTCGAGCCACCGTCGAATATACCGAACAGACCTTCCACGTTGCAGAACGACGGCATTCTGACTTGCGAGACGTATAATCTGCAGATGGGAATGTACGGATATAGAGCATTCGGCAGAGTTCTGTGCGTCTAAAGTGTACGGACTTAAGAAATTTTATGATCATGTACTCTGTACAGGGTGTCCCACCTAACGTGAGCACCTTCAGTATTTCACTTGCTTTTGATTTGCAAGAAAATTAATTTTAATAAATGCTCAAGACGATGGCCATAACGTCTATACATTTTTGCAGTAATTCCTCTAGCGTAGTTATTTTATTAATTCGATTTTTCGTACTCAAGGTCACATGAATGTCACACTATTATAGGTTATTGGATTGGTTTTCATCTCAACTATTATGCTACGCTGATAAAACAGTATCTAGTTTCATTTAAAAAAACATTGATGATTTTAAAATTCCGAAAAATATGACCTTGAGAAAATGTTTTGCCTACCATTAGATTTGCCCCCTCGAGCCATATATTTGTGCCATTTGACATTTTCCCTAGCATATGATGCTCAAGTTAGGTGGGACACTCTGTGTACGACTCACATAATGGTGAATACGGTGTAGATTTTTTAAATTAAACTATTAATAGGTAATTAGTATAAATTATTGATCAATAGGGGCTTCTACCTTTCCCTAGAACCTGCCGTTTCCGAAAATCCCAGTCTCCATGGCTGTTCGGCACCCTTCTCCGCGGAAACAATCTCCTGCTGATGAGGGTGAGAGGGCAGGCTCGGTCTATTTTGTCCTGACACATCGACTAACGATATCGGACGTTGGGAACGGTAGACTTGGAATTGTCGAGGATCCACGTGGAGTCTCGAATTGCAGGAGATGTCCAGAAACTGCAGTTGAGGTGGCACTAATGTCGCCAGGTTCACCCTGTCCAATTGATTATGGGCTAAATCCAACACCTGAACAGAGTTCGTCCATTTAGCTTTTAGAAGCCTGTTAGAATGAACGCGTAGCACACGTAAATGACGTAAATTAGCTACGTTGTCCGGCAGGTACTGAAGTCGATTCCCGGATAATACTAATTCTTCCAGGTCACTCCACGAAGCCGTGCAGCTAGAAGTGAATATACTTATTACAAGTCACTACTCAGAAATAAATAATAAACAATTCTGAAATTTGATTAATAATAATACTAGCCCGAAATCAATCTACACGTATGAAGAAGTGTGAACATTCCTTTAAATTTGTATGTAAGAATCGATATGGAATATTTTCAAATAATAACTCGTATGTACTTATTCAAATACGTCACAAATATTGTTGTTCACTACTTGTGCACGCCATTATAAATCATGTGGTACTAAAAAAAAAATTGACAAATGGTGATTGATTTTAAAGATGTCCAAGTACCTTTCTGGAAGAGTATCTAATGTGTTGTATGCAATATGAAGAATTCGCAGGGACGTTAATTTTGCAAGAGCGTCCAAAGCGGTGTCCGTTAAACAATTCGCAGTGAGGTACAATTTCTCCAAACTGTGGTTGCCCTGTCGGCTTTTACTTCCGTCCACCGGGGCGGGAAGTTCCGACAATCGGTTGTTGGAGAGATTTAGAACCTTCATTCTGAGGAAGTGTCTTGTAAGTACATCATTGTTTTCTTTCATTTTGCCGATAATTCATTCGAATAATGAAATTGTTTGCGTACTTTTCGGTGTTGGAGAAGAAACTCGCTGGCAACGCGGTCAACGCATTGTCTTGCAGTGTCAGATGAACGATGTTCAACGGTTTCCTAGGCGGTGGAAGGGCTTGTAGCCTATTGTGGGGTAGATGAAGGACCTCTAGCCTCGACGGCTGCGTTAGCAGCCTGTCTGGGAGGGCAGTCAGGGCATTGTGAGAGGCGAAAAGGGCACGTAATACCGGTAGATCCGGCGTCCATTCTGGAAGGGCATCCAAGTTGTTACTGAAACAAATTTGTATTTCATGTTATATATAATATACAAGAATATAAAGGATATATAAGATTAATTAAGTCACCATACGAGATTAATTTAGTGAAGTAACACAAAAAAAATCAAAATACCTATAATTATATGAAATACTCTATACATATACAAGGGTGTTTTCTTTCTTTAGCATCAATTGCATTTAGAACAATTATAAAATAAATGGTTAAGAAATATCTTTTTTTAACTGAAATAATTCTTATTAGGTACTTCTATGCCTCCATACAAACACCCACAAAGCTCATTTTGATCGGTTTGTTAGTTCAACAGTTATGGTTTCTGGAAAACAGGTTGACACTATATTTCAAGCAGCTCTAAAATCAACAATTTCAAAAAATTTTCCAAATTCCTTCGATATACGTTTATATATCACTAAAGACTGCAATATATCTATGTGTCAACAAAATTCGAAATATTACTCCAGAAAGTGTCTCATTTCACGTGGAATGCCCCTATCGAAAACAACGAAGATACTTGAAAAATATGAATTAACGTGATTACTCTGGGTACAATCATTAAGAAAATGAAGATACATTCAAGTATTAGACGATAAGATATTGTTTTATCGATTCATTATTTTTTACTTACTATGAAACATCAAGGTGTTCAAGATTCACTGGCACAGGTTCTATGGTCAATTTTTTTAATTCTGTAAAAATAAATATTATCTTACAATATTTTGTTATCGATGTTAGTACAGGTTCAAAGAGTAAAGAAGAACTTACTGTTATTTCCGGCAATAAGCGAAATTAGGTTCCTACCGCATACAGTGAGTTCTGTTAAAATATTTCGCGCGCAACGAATGCTTCTCAATTCTTGAAGAGCACTGATGTCCAATTTCTCAATGCTATTTTCACTCACGTCTAGATGCGTTAAATTCTTGATTAAAGAGGAAATAGAAACGGCAATGGTCAATAATTGTTACTTTAAAAATTCGAATATAAAGATACATTTGTTATAGAATTTTGTGTACTTACTCCATAATTTCCTAGAATAATGTTTCCTTTTAACTGATTATTTCGTAGGTTGACTTTATATAAATTATTCTGACTGGTTTTTTCATCTTTGAAGCCTTTACTATGATCGGGCTTCGGCAAAACATCCTAAAAGCATTATTAATTGTTATTGAGCCAAATAAACAATTTCAATGGTTAACATATCGAAACAGGTATTAATTGGACTAAATAATGAGAATTACGCGTGACACGTATAACTTTTCATGTTATCAGTAATATAATCTTTAAGCTTCTGACCGACTTTGATTAGTTATTGTTAATATATTTTTGTATATTTCATTAATAAGCATTTATAAAAAATATACGAAAGTCTAATGTGTGTCAGAATTTAAAAATTATATGCCCGTGGCGAACAGTTCAATAGGTACGTTCCAGACTCATGACTGTTTTATCAGACGGCCGCTATGTGGCTTCGAGGTTGATGCCGTTCTCGAAAGAAACGTTACCCCGAAGATACATATAACTACGTTCGAAAGCTTGACTAGTCACTCTGGTTTCCCTTCAAAACACGCATAAATCTTTCGCCTTTTACTAAAGATTTCCGTGGAGGGGAACAATTGATGAGTCTATGAAATAATTTTTTGTGTACCCGGCGCAAGCTGGGTCATTATGAAATGAAAACAAAATATTTTTACAGGATAAAAAGAACTTCGGATTAAAATGAACAGTTTCGAAGTTCTACGATTAATAAATAATTGGTTATCTTTGTTAGACAATTAAAAATTTATGCAGTTTCTTTTCTGCTAATAGTTTTGTATCCACGCCAATTGAAATTTATCGATCCATTATAAATTTCACGGAACAATTTGTTTTTTACTTATCTCTCGGTGTTGACAAACAATTGTTATTTTTCCACTTTCTATGAGAGAATAATACATATATGACGATTTAACCTACGATTTCAAACGAACTTTTATATTTTTAGTATCAGAAATCAATCGGCACGTTGGAATAATGTGTTGAATTCTTTTGAATCAGCTGATGTCGAGTAATTGTCAGATTCATTAGCCTGGAACCACGTTTCTAGCAACGTCTATTACTTCATCCCGTCACTGTTCACGGTAACAGTACCTCTGAGCGAATTTGAAATTACAAAATACTTAATAATTTCATGAAATGCATCGCCAACGTACCGTTAGCGCGAGGGCTCGCATGTTGAAGAAAGACGGCAGACTGCTGAGGCAATTTCCAGCCAAGGAAATATTTCTCAAGTTCCTCAGCTCGCCGAGCTCGTGCGGTAGGTCCTTGATTCCATTACGATCCAAGATTAACTCTTTCAAGCTATAAAGAATAAATAAACCTGTTACCATCAATGATTTTCACTTAATATTGAAATAAACTTATAAGAATGTAATACTACATTTCTTCACTTTGTCTAACGGTAACTGTCACAATCATGAAGAGAAAATTCTATACAATATACTGAATTAATGAATTATTCCTAGTAAAATAAAATATACAAATTTTGTACCTACGTATCTGAAAAGTAAAATTCACAAAAGAAATCTTTTTAAAAAACTAACATTTGCATGAAACAAGATTTGTCAGGATATTTATTGATTTAACTTACTGCAATTTAAAAAGACAGTGAATTGAAGTTAACTTGACTAACTGTATACAGTAAAATATAATAAGATTATTTCAAGGATTTAGATAATTATATTATGGTAAATTATTTTCGACGAAAATTTCACATACATATAAATGTAACTAAATCCTAAAGGATCCCAAAGTTTTATAACAGAGTCTTTAAATTAAAATTTACAAACTGACGTTTGATGTAATCTGTATCACGTGTCATGTGAGTGTAATACTTTCGATCAGCTTTTTCTCTTTGTTTAAACTCATGGTCTGGCATCGTTGATTTATAAAAATTCCAGCCATTCTAACCGGCCATTCATCATAAATTGCGCCGCACTTCCGGCTTCGGGGTCGATCAAATATATCCTGATAAATTAGCATTACAGTTACGGCGGAGCGTGGTTTAACGTGAATGCACGTTGCACCCTCGCTGCACGGACAAACGAATCGGTGAACCTAAACGAACGGGGCCGCCCACAGGATGTGCACTTGAGTAGAAAGTTTCAAATTATGGTGAAAACCTTCCTCTGCTTGTAAACATCTGTGTCATCGGACGGACTTTCAGTTTTTAAAGTAAAATCGAAATCGTTGAGCGATAAGGCAGATGGACTGTGTGGCAGTTAAATGGCAGTGTGCTTTTTAACAGATTGACCACAACCTACTTAATTCACAAATGAGACTAATCATCACAAATCACATTAATATCCTTTCTCAATCTATTAGGTGTATTAATACATAATTAATTAACTTTTGGGAAATACAATGTTTACTTTATTGAAAATTAAGAGCTAATACAGTTTTAGCGATATTTGTCCCTGTTCTTAAACAGTCACCGCCATCTTTAAAGAAGAAAAGGGCGGGAGGGTGTTTTAAATTCAAACTATGTCACAAATTTATTGAAAGCAAAAAATGTGGGTTATTTATTGGTACACCTAAAATACAGAAGCACCAAATGAAAGTTAGACGTCAGAGTTCTCTAATCACATTCGTACTTAGGAGTATCCAGAAGTTTCTACAGGGACTTATTGAAAGGAATTAAAGTTATGATACTCTAGAATTACGATGATTATTCAGTACTAGATAGCACTACATTGGACGAACTGTTCCGTTATACTACTGTATTTTATTTTAAGTTGTGGTATATATCATGGAACTAAAATTTGGGTCTCCATAAAATGTTTTCCACTATAATTATTTCCCAAAAGTTATTGAAATTCTAAAAACCCGTAATCTAGAAAAAATGTCATCTGCAATTTGTTAGTAGTAAATGGTAATACTATCAACAGATGTTGTGTATTATTTTAAAATCAATGAAGCAAAGAATATTGCAAAAAAAGTCATGGTTGTATTTTATTTAAGATCATTTATATGAGTTTGTAATTGTACTCAAACTTTAACCCTCGGATGACGAACGTGGGTCACTCGAGATCCAAACTTTAAACCCACACTGCGTGGCATAACTCTAAAACCACCCTACAATTTTTAATCTTCATACATATATTGTTTAAATAAAAATGAACCAAGTATGCTATGTTTGAAATCGTGTTGAAGAATAATGTTTCTCTGGAAAAGGATAGATTATATTCCCTAGAAATAAAGTGGTTCGTGTTTATTTTAATAAGACATAATTATTGAAAACATTAGGGTGGTTTTATAGCTACGCCACTCATTGTATTCTAAAAAGCAGGCTACAAATCTGTACGACGTATTTATATGTGATTTCGATATGAGTCAGAAATGATACAGCTTTGCCTTCCACAGATCCATTTTCCCAAGATTAATTAAATCATTCCGCATCGCCCGAAAAAAACTTCAATCCAGATTCTACTCTTCATTCCGCCACTGCATAACGATGCCATTGTGCTCCTTTACATAGACTTAGATCTCTCAAGCTCGCACTTGTTTCCAGAACACGCAGCTATGTACTTCTCACCTCCTACAAACGCCATTCCTTGTTCCTCAGCCGCCACTGTTTTAAGCAGGGAGGACGCCTCTGAAGATCTCGAGTATCCACTCGACTATCCTGAGAAGCTTTTTATCCAAGACACTTCATCCTCAAGGAAATTTTCTTTGCATTTTTCAGCCGTTCGTAATGTATTAAAATATTCACCGACTTCAGTGAATATCGTCCCCGTCCACTCTGTCGGTACACCTTGCTCGAACATCCATCCACAGTGTTGACAATATCTTCAGAGTATAATTGTAGATAACGGAAGAACACCAGTATCGACGAATCTTTCACAAATAACAATATCCAATTCCGCGTCTAAATTGTACTATCCAAGAACTGTATTCACCGAACGTTTTCTCAAAAAAATATCGAAGATTATTTTCTTCGACCCTTCGAGTTTCAAGTCTTCGAATGTTTCGAACACTTCAACGAAACCCTTTTAACGGTTTAAAATCAAATATGGATTTCGAGGTTAATTAATATAAAATGGTTTCTTTCACTGACATGTCGGGAATCAGGAAAGTATTTCGAATTGCCTCGAGGACGCACGCCGGTAAATGTTGAAGGTGGTGTACGCTCGCGTGAGTTCTTCAGGGGACTAAAACGTACGCCGCCAGGCGAATCGTGTTCGAGCTACTACTCCTGATCCAAAGGAGGAAAGAAGGGAGGCCAAGGATGGCTGACCAGTCTGACGTAACAGAACAGACGGATTAGCTCTTCTGGCACTCGAATGCGAACCGGGACTATGTTAATTCCTTGTGTCCCGGCCTGGTTGTCTACCAGCAACCAGTGACTGGTTAACGCTTGGTTGTTCGGTGATATGTCGGCCCAGTTACGCTACAGAACCCCCAAAGATTCTACAGGAGCTTCTGCTCCTCCGGAGAATCGTGGGCGTGAAGATGAACGTCAGAGCAAACTGAAGTTCGGACTAAGTCTTATTCAATGGGGATGACGATGAATACATTGGAATCGTAACTTACAGGGACATTAATGCACTGGATATTATTGTATTAGTAAAAATAATACATATTTCATTGGATAACATAAATTTCAGGTGGAAGTAACAAGACCTAGGCGCCGCCATATTGGTTCCGCCATATTGGTTCCGCCATATTGGCTATTGATCAACGTTTCAAAAATTCTAGAATTCTTTTCACACGATTATTTTTGATCCTGTTTAACGAAGTGTCTACACATTTTATGATCTTGAAGCGATACAAGAGATCTTCCAGATTTTATCGTAAACAGGTTAAATTCTTGGCTCATCAAGGTTATCCCAAAAGATTTTTTATGGACATTTCATTGGATCTCATACTTTCGACTGAGATATAGATGTATCTAGGCATCTAGATCGCCATAAGGTTCTAATTTCAATATTCTTACTCCACAGCGAACGTTTTGTCAAAACCCATTTATAGATTCACTGTCCTGAGGGGGTTAAAGGTGACAGCGTTGGTGTTCTTTCGCGTGTTCACGCTCTTTGTAGAAGAAACTATGTTTCACTGGTTGGTTTCTTGCATTGCACGCATTTCGTTGATAAAAGGAGTTCAATGATAAGGATCTTCCAAATGACACATCTTTCGAGAGGTTTTTCTTCCAGACTTGGGAAACTCGACACTGTTAGACTCTTTTTTAAAATTCCCGTGTAACTACAGCCTGAAGGAGACAGTACTGAATATTTCAGATAATTCTTCAGGGAACCAAAGACTGGGGTGCTTTAGAATACTTTTTGGTTACGATACTTCTCCGCCGTCTCGCTCGAGCTCGTTCCAAAGACTTTTAACATTAATTGGTTATAAAGACAGGAGTCGTTCGTCTCCGTGCAAAATAATAGAAGCTTCCCTTTTTTTTAAAGATTCCACTTCTGTATGTAGTTTACCAGAGACCCCATTAGTATTTTAAACTATTCTTTTGTCTTGTTAGAAGGACCGGGAGAACAATGCGGAAAGTAGCTGATCCTTTCGTGACTCTTCAGTTTGAACTTTCTATGCGGAACGAAGTATCCGCGCATTTGTGTAGGACGTTAAGATATTGTACATTCATATTGTGCTGGCAGTTGACATTTTCAATTAAAATTTATAAAGTTTTTGTATTCTGCTATGAACACTGAATAATCGATATGTTACTATTTATGCCAAATATTGTGCTGGCATGGAAATAGTAAAATAGTTTTCAGTTCTACATCATTTATGTTACTAGATTTAATAATTAATACAATAATTTAATTTTCCTTCGGTAAATCTGCATTAAATCTCTAAAAGCATTATTTTTTTTTACATTCTTTTCCATTGGAGTTTGGTGTTCATTTAGCGCATATAGTGTGTACGCTGCATTGAAGATGTACGTAATAGAATTATAAAAATTCTTCTTTCTCTTATAATTAATGTAAGTTTGTCTACGTCGAAGAGGAAGTATTCGTCATAATAAATAATACTTCCTTACGTGTTTTAAACGCATATGATTATGCATGTTTTCCAACGATTAAAGTGAATGTAATCTTAATCATCTTCGTTTTAATGGTAATTCATCAGAAACTTTCGTATTTTCGAGGAATAAGAAACTCGGTTATTCAATCCACATTTTGTCCGTAATTCAAAGTGTATAGTTTATTGGGCTACTTTAGCGGCCTCCAATTAAACATTGCCAATTACTGCAGCCGCGATCGTTTCCTCCTTTAATCAGAAACATTTAATTCGTTCCGAAAGCTCATTAAAATTTCCATTGAGGTCGAGCTTTCTTAAGTCTTTTG